ATTCAGTAGATGTTTCCAAAAACCACTGATGATGAAAGCTAAGCTGACCACATCGTGAAAGCGATTTAGAGTCAACTGATGGCAATAAACAAAATTCGCAAAAAAGTTGAATAATGTAGCTCAATTATGCTTTAAAAATGTCTGTACCTTGGGATCAAGATCCGACATAGTTGTATCATTGGAGATGCGACCTGCGTTGAAGCCGACGATATAAACTACGATTGATTAATAATTTTTAAATCTTACCATTTATTATTAACATTTTTTGGTATTGTTTTATTACAATTTAACATAATATGTTAACATTTTTATTATTTAAAAATATACAGTGGCTATGCAGGTTTACCAACTTGTGATAAGGTTCCACATTGTACCGATTCTCTACTTGATCTGATCCAAGAGAGCTCAGAATCATTTTCGATTTTCATTCAAATCAACATATTTAAAAAAACTAAATTTTATTGTGTAAACTATAAGTTTTAATTTTTATCTTTTTCTGAAACCAACAAAAAATGTTAAAATATTACGAAAAGGAATGCTGAGTCATACTTATCGGTTTATTAGGAAAAACTCTTTACAGTCACGTAAATTTTTTTATATAACTTTGAATTAATAACATTCTTCCCCTTTTAGGAAAACAGACAAAGCATTTTAATCCCTTTTGAAATCAGATTCTATTGATCGGACGGGTTTTCATGCCATTTTTGTGCATCCAAAATAAACAATCCAGTTTCAGTTCAAGTAAGGCTCAAAGTTGTAACAAACCGAACACGTGCAAGGGTCAACTGGAAGCAGGTAGAAGTACAGAATAAAAAATTAATGTGAAAATGTAAAGAAAAAGAAAAAATAACACAAAATTACAAAACTCATGGACCAAAATCATACCGAAACTAATGCATACCCAAACATCCAAACAGCAAGCGGAGAGGATGTTACTTTTTTTCTGATAAAATCAGAATAATTGCTTAAAAATACGTTACAAATATTTTATGCATCATAAGAACAACAATTGAAGAGAATTTTTAAATGCCTGTACTTTTCTTGAAAAAACGTTATTTTTTGGGAAAAAAAACTCAGTTGCAAAAAAAATTGAAGAACTCAGACTATAATAGATAATAAAATATGATACATTATTTTTGTGTAATTTTGTTTTTTAAGAATAAATAATTTTGTTAATTATATTATATTGTTTTAATTACATATTGTCAATGTTAAATATACGTAGCTAATGATATATGAAGTTATGTATAGTCTATATACTTATATATATACTTATACATATACTTATACTTACATGTACTCTTCTTTAACTACTCAAAGAAGGTATAACACAATTATTATAAATAAAAATAAATTAAGGTTCTTTATCGATATATTATATAGTTCTCTTCTGCATTCTTTTCTGCTATTCATATAAATAACTGGCTTAGAATTTCTTCATAACACTGTTTTTCTTTAAAAACTATTGTTTTATAAAGTACGATATTAAGACGTTTTACTTTGTCTTTTTTATAAATATAAGAATTATTTACTATACTAACTATTAATAGAACAATTACCTTCCGTAAACCTAAGGTACACAGTTACAAATATTTTAATTGCTTTATAGACCCAAATTGCAAATTTTTATCATAAACTGAAATTACAGCATTATCTTAAAGAAATTTTCTTTACAAATAATTGTTTAATTATTAATTTCAATTCTACCGGTTTGCTCTATTATCGCAGTTTAACGTTAAATCTATAACAGACACTTGTACCTTATCTCAATGTTTCAAAATTCGTATCCTACAATTCATGCTGAGTTGTAATATTTTTAATGGCTAGAAAAAACCTGAACATTTTTTATTTAATCAGATAATGCAAAAGTATAAAATAAATATTAAATGGTTTTGTATTTTAAAATTGATAAACTGTGTTTTAGGACTACAACCATGACAATGGGCGTTACGAAAAATTGAGACAGTATCGTATGGCATCCCCCCATCGAAGTAATCTAAAAGCGGATATAATTGTTAATTACACTGTTTCAGAACATGGATAGGAAAATGTTCTATAGTAGATTGTTTTTGTACACAAATATTTCAAGGTGGGCATTTTTGAGTTGCTTAGTGGTTGGTCTGAATTTATAATCTAATTTTACTAGGCGTAACAATCTTTATCAACTTTTGGGAAATCATATTGGTTACTTGTTCTTTAAACTATATTGCATATACACATTAAAATTTTTATATCTTAAAGGTAATTAATAAATAAATACACAAATTTATTTCTATAATCTATTTATATCTATATTTCTATAATATTAATTTTGCTATTAATCGTTATTTAATTGAATATATAATTTATAAATGAATTTAGATAATGAAGATTGTTCACAACATAACATGTAAGAACTTCTGAAATCATTTTTTTGAATGCCAATTACATATTCATTTTTGATGAAACCAATACAATAATAACAAAAATATGTTACACCATTAGAAGTATTATAGTTCGGACACTGGTAATTGTTAAATATTTTCGATGACATCCGTTTGTAAGCGTAAAAGAAAAAAATTTGTGATAGTCTAGCCTCTATCCTCAATTCGTTGGAAGTAAAAATAAACTATTTTCATTATTATTATTTTTGGTCTGGTATATTCGAAATAGTCTTCTTTCCACTTAACATAGCGCTGGAAACTTTTATCAAATTCGAAACATCTTTAAAATTCAGCGGCCGAAATGACTTTTAGTATATCGGTCGAAACCTTTGAAAGTACCATGATGGAATTCACTTATTTCTTTTCACCATCAGTTCCAGTTTGGTTAACTGCGAAAAATCGCATAATATCTTTTGAGCTAAATACAATGAGTGATCCACAGGAATAATGCCTTTTTTTGTAAAAAATTTAGATACCATGATAGCCTTATCGTGCAATAAAAACAACTGCCTAATCCGCGATATTCTGCCCTCTTTGATTTCTGAAATACAATCATTGTAGAACTCTAGAGTAATACTGAGCATTCACTGTGATGAATTACCTTTGAATCAACGAAAACAGTTCTCTTCATTTGGGTCTTTGAAAAATGTGGAAGTAATGTTTTGAACTCATTTACAATCAGTGGCGGAGCTAAACCAACTCTGCACGTCGGCGACACAGAATTGCGAGGCCCCCTTTATAACCCAGTTGTAAACTTTCAAGTTACATTGTTGAAAGTTTTATTGCTAATCAAATTAAAATAAATGAATTTTCCTACTTTTAGCCTCACTCAATTTTTTTTTAAGCGACGCCACTGTTTACAATAGCTCACGTTTTATGCAACTTAAATAAGAACTTAATATTGTCTGTTTATTATTATGTTGAAGCTATTTGAGCCAGTGCACTTGAGCACTTTTACTCTTTCTTAACGCAAGGTATTTTCAAAACTACTTTTTACGCCTTGACTGGATTATTGTTTATCACTTCATCAGTTTAAGCAATAATTGACCTCAGATCTGCATACCTCCCCGAGGAGTCTGTAATCATTTTAAGATTTGATAACGCAGTTTGGTAAGTCTGTCAATTTTCGCAAATAATTTCAGGGCTCTACACTTTATGTATTTTTTAATGGGATCAATCTTGAGGTCATTCATCCTAATGTACCATGATACTTTGAAAAGTCTTCTCAGAGCCTGGCTTTGTGTAATTTCAATCGCTCAGCACAAAGTATGCATGAAGTATGTTCCTTTTACCTATCATTATTCATTTATAGATGTCGCTAAACTAAGAATTTTTTATGTAACTAGTCTTAATTTTGAATGCATATTCACAGCGAATATAATAGTCAATATAATACTAAAAATTAACGAAACAGTT